ACTCCATCCTAGAAAGCGGGATTGGTTTACTTGACTGATTATTGACCTCATACCTTGCACTAGAGCAAAATCTGCACTCGATTAGTTCACTGTCTGCTTTCCAATAGATCATGCACCCTTTTGGACAACAATCAATAGATTGATGAGTCATTCCTAATAGTGAGAGTTTCCTTTTTATTTTCTTGAAATTCTGGATGGGCCGATTGGAGATATGTGTTGGGAAAAACCTATTCACAAGTTGAACAATTCTGTCAGTGGCAGCCTCTGATAAATTCATCTCAGTCTTTAAGTTCAACAATTCAGTCATGGCACTCAACTCCGTCATGGGACAACCATCAAAACATGGTTGACTTGTCGCAGCAAGCATTTCATACATGCTCTTTGTCATTGGATTAGGCTCCTCATCGTCAACATGCATATCATCAGGCGTACCTATAGGAAACTCATTCCTAACAGCGTCTTCAAACATTGATTTATATGGGTCATATGGAACTTCAGATGTATTATGACGGGAAGAGCTACCTTCATCCAAATAAACCAGCCCATTTGAATTATATGTCTCTCCGTGCGCTCCCCATACATAATAGTCTTCAACAAATCCTTTTTCAAAAAGATGTTGTTTAACAATATCCCAAGTCAACAATTTTCTGTTCTTGCACTTTCTACACGGACATGCAATCACCCCACTTGGATATAAGTTTACCGCCTTCTGAATAAACTCATTAACTCCTTTTTTGAAGTCTTCATTTAGAAACCCTCGATTTCCGAGTCTTTCATACATCCAAGACCTATTATTGCTCATTTTGAAATCTAAACATATAAAATGATACGGATTATTAAATATTATTTCTTCACTTCACATAGTAAACGAAATTAATTTAAGGAATTTTCAGTAGCTCGTGACTAAATTTATTAATAATAGATCAACAACTTCAATTATTTCTTTCAATTAATATAAAAATAAACAATAACCAACAATGTTTAAATTTATTATTGTTCTTAAATTTCTTTGAAATTTTCCAACATATTTAAAAAGCTAGCAACAAAAACACGTACAAGTATTATAATATTTGTTAAAAATGGTGTCATTGCATTTTAGCATCTACAAGGACCAAGCACATAGTACATATGTCATTTGTCTTCATAAATTAATCATAAAATAAATAGATCGCAAGAGGCTAACAAATAATGTAATAATAAGTTTACTTAAATAGTAATTAATTAAGAATCAGCTCAAAAAAAGACATAAGATTAAATTTTAATTAAGCCAAAAAAAACTTACCTCTCTCGTATGGACATGGCAGATCGAAGAGAGCTTGTAGACAAAGAAAATGGTAGATGAGATATTTGTGCAAAATGAATTTGGTTGGTGGGTGCAATTTAATATTTGTAATTCAATGACAGAGTTTAGAGACGGATTAATTCCGCCATTGTTTTGTGACGAAATTTCAGCCACAAAAATCAGCTAGCAATTATTGTCTAAGATGGATTCGCCACTAAAATCTGTCGCTGAACAGCGACACAGTACATCTGTCACGCATTTGTGGGGCATAGTTATTTGTCTTTAATTTCCGTCATAAAATCGTGTCAGATGTTATTTCGTCACTAAATTCCGCCACAATTTTCCGGAATTCTTGTAGTGGAAGTTCCTAACTATCTTCAAGCAACTTTCATGAAGGGGAATGTAGAAGTAACTCAATATTGGATAACACCTTCCTAGAAGGTGTTACATGTTTTTGGCAACTTCCAAGAAAAAAGTTGGAAGATCCTCAAAGTTTTTCAAAATCTGTGGCAAAGTGACATTTATACAATGATATGATATGGTACCTTTGAAATATTATATCTTGCCAACGTTGTTACATTGATCAATTAGCCTACTAAATTAGTTATTCATTCAAATGTATAAAATAATGAAATGGTTACATAAAACAACCGATTGCATAATAGGTAGTAAAATGTAATAACATAGGTTCTAGAACACCCTAATTTATTAGCGGGTGCCTTAACATTTACGTAGCAGAATGTAATAAGAATTCAATGTTCATTTTTAATAGGGAAAATGGAAAGAGTGAATTCCCTAAATAGGACTAAAAAGTGGAAAAATTGCACAAATAGGACTACATTTTTTAAATTCCCTTAATAGGACTATTTATGTGTGTTTGGACAAATATACCCTTGTAACTTGTGAAATGTTTTAATTAATAATAAAATCATAAAAAAATTAATAAAAATCGAAAAAAATACTAAAAATCGTAAAACAAATAATAGAAAATTAATAAAAATATTTTTACAAAAAAAATAAAAAATATTTTTTTAAAAAAAAATAAAAAAAAATAAATAAAATCATAAAATTAAAAAAAACACATTACCACCCCTGCCACCCCCAACACCACCATCTCCCATCACCGGACAAAAATATGCCAACATTTTAAATAATGCCATAATGATGGCATAATCAATGAAAATGTTGGCATATTGAAGAGTAATTATGCCATCTTTTTGGCATTTTCAGAAAAATATGGCATTTTTTTACCAAAAGTGGAAGAAATTTCACCAATCGGAGGTGGTGGTGCTGGGAGGCGGCGGGAGGCGGTGAGAAAGGTATCCATAATTTTTTTCATTTTTATGGGTTTTTACTATTTTTTATTATTTTTTTAAAAAAATTATAAAATAAAAAATTAAATTTTTTATTTTATAAATGTTTTATAATTTTTTTTTATTTTTTTACGTTTTTTAAATATTTTTTTACGTTTTTTCTGATTTTATTATGAATTAAAGCATTTCATTATGAATTAATACTCTTAGGGGTATTTAGGGTAGAAAATCAATGTTTAGTCCTATTTAGGGAATTTTAAAAATAGTAGTCCTATTTGTGCTTTTTAGGAACTTTTTAGTCCTATTTAGGACAATTTCCGAAATGGAAACTAATAATCCAACCTTTTAGCGGTCTTCTTTTAATAGTCCCACATTTTCGTTATTCATGAATAATCCAACCTTTGCACCTCATCTTCATTCACTGGTCCTTGACCGGTTGATGACATGCTATTCCGACTTATTTTCTTATCTTTGTAAAATATTATCTTTGTGAAAGGTGGAATTTATGGTATAATAGTTTGCAAAGATAAGAAAATAACTCGGAATAGCAGGTCATCTACCGGTCGGGGACCAATGAATGAAGATGAGGTGCAAATGTTGGATTATTCATGAATAACGCAAAGGTCGGACTATTAAAAGAAGACCGCTAAAAGGTTGGATTATTAGTTTCCATTTTCCCTTTTTAATATGATGTAACGTAATACCATATCACAAGGAAAACACTACTAATTCCTATTTACGGAATGGGCACTACACATGAGTAGGTTCACATAAGAAAGGAAGCACTAAAAATGCAACAAGTTTTACCACTGCCTGGTTAGTACTGTCAATTGTTGCATGAAAGTGCATCAAGTTTATGGGTAAGAAATCACATGATATATTACTCCTAATCAACTTTACTTTTTCCTAGACCTTGTATAAACATGTCTTCTATTTTGTACAACAATTACCATTTGTTGTGTTTTTTGGAGTGAATGGAATGTAATTTGGCAAAATACAAACGACAACCACACTATAAGAAGATGTAATATGACCATGTATTCAATTTACAATTACAAAGTACAATAGGAACAATATTGTGAGCAAATAAGTAATTTGACCAACAAACATATACACAAATAAAAAATGAACACGAAGTAGAGAATTAGAACATCCCACACAAAATAGACTGACAGAAACACCTGACCTTTCTTTATAGGTCACCTCCTCCCCACAGTCATCCAAGTTGCCAAATCAGGAGGACCTTTCCTCCACGAAATCAGACCCAAACATTGTTCGGGATGCCCATCCTAGATCTACTACTGTCCAAACTGACCAACCTGGGAAATTGACGTTACCTTATATGAGACGGCCGCTAGATTCACATTGCAAATGCAAGCCTTATTTAATAAGAAGATCCTTAGATAAATCCGAGGCGAATGACAACATTCGACATCCCCAATTCAATGAGAATCAACTCCGATTTAGAATTTAGATTCGTAAGAGTCTACATAAAAAAGAATGTTCACTAAATCACAAGGATTTGAGAAGTGAAAGTATGGAAGTTTTTGAGGGCGGAAAGATTTGAGAACTTAGCATTGGCATTCAGGGGTTAAAATTTAATTAAATAAAAGATATTGAAATTTTGTTCTCTTTGTTTGCTTAAGAAAATACAAAACTTAAGAAACTACACCAGCCAAAAAAAATGCTTAAGAAACTACAAAATTTTGGGAAAATGGAAATTAATACTCCCTCCGTAACTTTAAAATCTTCCCATTTCAAAAGTAGGTAGATTAAGAATAGTGAAAGATGATATGAATTATTGAGGGTATGATGGGAAAATAGTGGAATAATGTGGTGGAATGTAGGATAAATCCAAAAAAAGTAGTTGTAATAGTGTATTATTTTAAGAATTATTGAGGGTATGATGGGAAGATTTAGAAATGAGAAGATTTTTTTGTTACGGACGAAAAAGGAAAGTGAGAAGATTTTTAAGTTATGGAGGGAGTAATCCAACCTTTTAGCGGTTTTCTTTTAATAGTCCGACCTTTTCGTTATTCATGAATAATCCAACCTTTGCACCTCATCTTCATTCATTGGTCCCCGACCGGTTGATGACTTACTATTCCGAGTTATTTTCTTATCTCTGCAAACTATTATACCATAAATTCCACCTTTCACAAAGATAATATTTTGCAAAGATAAGAAAATAACTTGGAATAACAGGTCATCAACCGATCGGGTACCAGTGAATGAAGATGAGGTGCAAAGGTTGGATTATTCATGAATAACGAAAAAGTGGGACTATTAAAAGAAGACCGCTAAAAGGTTGGATTATTAGTTTGCATTTTCCCAAAATTTTAGATAACTTGCACAAGATTTTAGTCTTCTTTTGGATCTTTACGAATAAATCGATCTTCATATCCATTTATTCACGATCCAATTCCAAGCATTTATCTAAGAACTCTAGAAGCTCCAGAAAGAATCATAGAACTCTAGAAGAAGACCTCGATCAACGGCGCCCTGTGATCGTCGCCACTCACTTGAGCCGATGCCTGGGATATACGGACTTGCCATCTTGCCGACGTGGGACCTTGGAGACGAATGGTCGAATCTGTTATATTTTCCTCAATGAAAGGTGAAAAGGTTCAATTTTGATTTGATTTCATGCCTTTTCGCCGTGGAAGGGTTTAGTCCCAAATGAGGATGCAGTCCAGCTTTTCTCGGAATCTATTCACTTCTTCACCGCATTTGACTCCCATTCAACTCCCGTCTCCAAATGAAACACATTTATGGTATGTAAAACCCGATGAAGTGAAGAGCCAGGCACTGTTAGAAAAATACATGGAAATTTTGTCACCAGCTGAGAAGGAAAATGTGCTTCGAATGGCTGGAGATGAGCACCAGAAGACTGCACTGCTTTCTCGAGCATTGGCCCGAACAACCATTGCCCGATATCAGATCAGTTCTGCTGTTGATCCAAGATTTCTGAAATTTAGAAAGAACAACTATGGGAAGCCTGAAGTAGAATGGCAGCACAGTGATCATTGGCAGTCACCCCCATTGCATTTCAATATGTCACATACAAATTCTCTTGTAGCTTGTGGTGTAACGGGTGGTTCTCCAATAGGTATTGATGTAGAAGAAAAGCTGAGGGCGGTGAGAAACAATGTTTTAAGCTTGGCTCGGAGATACTTATCAGGGCCCGAATTTGAATTTTTGAGTTCGATAAAGCATTCCGAAGCTCAACACCAGGAATTTATAAAGCTTTGGACCATGAAGGAGGCATATGTCAAAGCACTGGGTGTCGGGTTCTCAGGATCCCCTTTCAAGACATTTACTCTTCGTTTTAGGCGCTCCTCCGAAAGAAGCTCTCTTCTCTCTTTGAATTCTGATTACAGGGCTCTTGAAACAGCATTGGATCAACAGGAGGATCTTCAAAAAATGATGGGTTATTGGCAGTTTGCGCTTATTGAGTTAGATGGTTCTCATTATGCTGCCATTTGCACCAAAAAAGGTGAAGGTAGTAAATCAATGAAAGTATGGAAGACAATTCCATTTCAGGAAGATGTGTGTGTTTCCGGAACTGATGCAGTTGTAGAAGTGAATGACTTGGTATAAACCTTTAGTTATTGGAAGAATTGGAATTTGACTCCTGGGAATTATTCTCATCTGTAACCTTTAGTGTATGCATATATATTTGCAGGGCCAAACTCCAATGTGAATGGGCATGCCTTCACTTTTCAACAAGGGCAGCTTATATGAGGAGCTTTATGTCCTAGTAGAATATAATTAACTATTAAGTTTTACAAGTAAGATTACTAACATAGGCCTGCTGAACTTAAAATTTCAGGATTGAATTCTGTGCACTAACCTTTAACTTTTTTGGTCATATGCAATTCTTTATATTTTATGACATAAGTAGCTCATTATTTTTTCTATTCACACACTTTAGTATTGTCCAGAAAACCCTATATGTTGCTATGAAATCTCACTCTGTAGACAAACTATAACAGATTATATTAGAATGTAATAAACATTAATCAATTTAAATTTATCAGCTTCTCTTATTAGTGAACTACCAAACAAAACCACAAATCAAGATTGAGATAACTTAAAGTTGAATTTTATTCAACATATCATGAGGAAGAATGATCTATATACAAAGATGTGAATACTTCACGATAATCTTAATAAGGCAAAATTAGGGCAAGTTGAAACATCTTTCTCCTACAACTTGTTCAATGACAAAACCACCACTCCACCACCACCTCCTCCATTTAAAGAAGGAAAAAGATACCCTCAATTATAAATAAATAGTACTAAAGAAACCATCCATCGCGAATTTCTTGAACTTGCCGGTAGACCCTTCACAATCAAGGGATCATTCTTCTTCATCTATATTATGAAAAGGAAGTGGGACTGTCTTGATTGCTCTAAACTTGCCAGCATTGTTAAGATGCTCGTTTTCCAGCCTATTATATTCCCAAGAAAAATGACATATACTGTAGGTTAAGAGAATTTAAATTAAGGGGGACTAATGACAAGTAGTTATCAAGAAATTAAAGCTCTTTGATACCTATAGAAATTCCAATGCCCTCTCCTGATGACTTCTAAGGCAGCTAAAAATAGCCCTGTTACCCTATAATCTACACTCCCAAATTTGTAATGCAATACCGTTTGCAACCATGCTAACCTTAGAATAAGGTTTAATCCCTGCAAAATGAAATCGAAATATTTATTTGTTCTCCATACTTTTTGTTATTCAAAGCAACAATTTTACACTTCGCAACATATAAATTCGGTTGGATCTACTCCCGTTCCTACAATTTAACCATTAGTTTTATCTATGTTTGATGACATAAGAAATTATATACCATGGAGAAGTAGTAAATGAACTTTTGGGGTAGCATAAGTTCATTCCTTAACCAAGGGTTCTTAGAATGGGGTTGGAGCAAACCCCAATCCTTCACAAAGTCCCAATACAGTTGGTACACTGTTGCAGAACTTGAAATGACAACAACTAGGCAAAGCCATCCCAAGCTTGTCTCTCTTTCATATGCCACTTTTGCCCCTGCTGCCAACATTGCTGACACATATTTTCCGAGGTTTACGAGGTGACTTTTATTCCCTTCGTCCAGCCATCGTCTAGCACACTGCAATTTATAAGCTGATATTGTTAACCAACTCACACTGATTAATATAAAAGCACTTTAAGTCATAATAAAAACCATGAGGTCTCATTGTTTCTCATAGTGGCTACTGGCTAGGAAGTTATAAACAAAGGAGAATGGTGGAAACCTGCATGGCTCTCCAGTAGTAAGGAAGGAAAGAAACAGCATAAGCCAAGTCTCTGTAGTACTTTGTTCTCATGCAATATCCATAGTCTTTATTTTTGTAGCTTCCAGTTACATAGTAACATGCTATGTACTCAACCTCTCTGAGTAATGGAATCTGATTGACCAAACAATTATGTACGCTGTTACTATTGTTTTTTACTTGAGGGTGTATACATATAATTAATATCAGGTCTGCTTATTTAGTTTCTCTGTATTCTTCTTCTTAAGGTTTTCTATTATTTGATCCATTTTCATGTTGGCAGCTTCTACTTACTTTCCATGGAAAGTTGTCTAGTAACTGACTAACTGGTGCATGTGTCGATTATTATCCGTAATTTTACTCACTTGCAAGTCATATCATTCGATTAAAAAAGTTCAACTTTCAAGACACTTTTGACAGATGTACTCTTTCTGATTCCAATTTCCATGTTAGTAGCTTCTTTTTACACTAGTTATTTGCCAGAATTTATACATTTGGTGAAAAAACAAATTTGGGCAATATTTTTAATCACATGACATGATCTCTAAGTAAGTAATTTATAAGACAAAATAATAGACACATACATAGGTAATAGGAACAAATCACCAAATGTTTCTATGTTTTCATTTTCCTTTGGCGCTTTTGATCTTCTTTGCTTATTGATTCTACTTTTTGATCTTTTTATTTTCTTCTTTTCCTCTTCTCTCCTTTTCTCTATACTATTCACTGGTCTTTACTATTTAGTAATAATCCAATAGGTGCAGCTACTACAAAAACAGGAGTAGATATTAAAGCCTTTTTATTAAAAATCTGTGATCATTATACCTAGGACAAAGATAGACATTGCACATCAGGTCTATCTCACTCCTGTCTGTCTTGCCTAATTGTCCTTTTAATTGCAAAAATTATATGAATGAATTACTTTAGATGAAGTCTGTCCCACCTTGATTGAGTTGTTGGCTCTAATAATATTATTATACAGGTGCCTAGTGTTTCATGGACCCCTAATGGGCTGCCTTGGCTGATTATTAAAACAATGCCTTCTTACCTGGCTGCAAAGTTGATCAGCCATGAAGAAGTCTAGCATGACAACCTTATACATAGGTGACAAAATGATGTTCCTCATCACACGCAGGAACCGAAAGCGGCTTGTTTTGTAGACAATGTTGAAAGGACATACCAGTAGCAGTAGAAAACTCTACAGTAAGAGGTAATGAAATTAAAGCAAAGCTTTTCATCAATTACTTAGAAAACTACTGAATTTTGTCAAAGAGATTCAAGAAAAGTTAATTAGAAAATTAATTACCAATAAAAGAAGGCCAGGGATGGCCTGAACTTGGGTAAAGGCATACCCTTTTGATACAAGAGCAAGATGAAGAAAGAGGACACCAACCACAACAGTCATTGAAGTTGTACAGATCAAGAATACATCCCTATACTTCAGTTCTTTCTTGGGAGCTAACTCTAATATGAAGGAGTAGTTAATCCTAGTCTTCCTCCACATGAAAATGTTGCATCCATACATAAACAAGTGCAAGAACAGTAGGCTGAACATGCTGCAGAAAGTTGAGATTTTTCTGCTTAGTGGGTACATTTTGACACAAAAATTTGGAAATTAAACTTTGAGGATTAAAAGGGTTCTTGCCTTAGAACAGGATACACTGTTTCCATGTAGAATGTATTTGATCGAGCCTGTCTGTACATCCCAGTAATATGAGCCATGATTAGATATCCCACTAATAGAGCTACAAAACAACCTGTGAATAAACCTGAGGTATAGATGAAACAAGATCAATGGTCTTATCAAATTATTGGAAATTAAAATGTTGATAAGTAGCTGCTGATATATATTGTAGAGTGAAATGCAAGGATATCTTAAACTGAAAAAATATGTACTAAGAACCATGGCAGGTTTTTTCTAATACTCCGTCTTAAAGATACATTCCATGTACTGTAGATATCTTAAACTGAAAAAATATGTACTAAGAGCCATGTACTATCGTTTATAAAAAAAACACTAAAATACTACGTAGTTTTTTTCTTGTTTCTGTTTTACAGAAAAGAGCTTTAGTATACTAAGTGAGTTTTTAAAATTTGAGGTCTTCTAAATTAAAATGCTCAGTGCTGTAGCCCACTCTCTTTGCAGGCCCTATTAGACAGTCCAAAGATAATGTATTGCTTGAATAATTGATCTACTACGTAGTACATTTAATTTGTGTGTTTGTACTTGAATGCCTAATAGGCCAATAATATAAACTTAGTTACGAAAGAAGCTTTTATTAAAAAATAAATGCATTCACACTCTCTCTGTCAAACTATGATTTGTTTTCCTCTCACAATTGTAAAACAAACTTTGTTACTTTTTCATTTAGAACAGAGAAGTTTCTAACAAGTGCTACATTTTTTTTGTTGTCCGCATAAACCTCAATTTATTACATTCTTATTTCATTAGTACGAAGTACTCCGTATGTTTTATGTTAAAAAAGTATGATGTGACTTTTTGTAATCGAAAATGACAACACTTTTTTTTTTATTCAACACTTTTAATGGTTAGGGGCCACACAATTACATGTCATGATGTCAATGACGGAGTATATGACAACACTTTTAATCATCATTTAACACTGTCTTTTATATAATGGTACACATCAAATGCCAAGCCCTACAAGAGCCTGAAAATGGCTCCCTTTTGTTAACTTTATTAAGGAAAGATTGATTTTAGTAGGTTTATTTGTTTATGGTCAGTGACAACTTGATGATTTTTAGTGGCCTCATCCTACACCTTTCTTTTTCCTTTTTAGGGGTGTTTGAATCTGATTCTCAAAACTGATTCTGCTCCTTCAGGAAGCAGAATCAGAAGCTGGAGTGTTTGGGTGAAATTCCAGAAGAAGCGCTTCTGAAGCTCTAATTTACTCCCAGAATCAGTTTTTTTTAGAAGCTGGGAGGTACCATATTCTGAAAACTGGTTCTGATTCTGCTTCTGCTATTAAAAAAGAAGCAGAGCAGAATCAGTTCCAAACACCCCTTAGTATCCACCGCCATTAAACTGACCCTATAAGCTCACCTTTTTAGTTGCTGATTCAAGTTCTACTTCCATTAATGGGCTTATAGGGTCCCCTTTTTGTTTTTTCTTTAGGGAAATATAGAAACACTTATTTAGCAAATGCGTTGAAAACCTAATTAAAATTGAGTGAGCCAAAAAAACTAACCGTTATCCCATAAAAATGATTATAGTTTTTTTTGTAATTTTATTGATGGCCCTCACCAATGAAGAAGGTGACAGCATGAGAGTCCTTTTTTAGGGTAGGCTTGAGGTATTTCATAGCCTTTCTTTTGTCATCTTCAGCAAAGTGTTTGATAAAAATCTCCTCAACCTCATCAGCCAATTTTAAAACCTGTTGAAACCAAAAGGAAAAATGAAATAAGCATTTTTTTGTTTTCATTTAATAGAGGACTCATATATAAGTCATATAAATGTAAACCTTAGACAATTCCTTAAAGATATTCTCCCACACTCTT